TTTTTATTTATTTATTCATGAGAGACAGCGAGAGAGAGAGGCAGAGGGAGAAGCAGGCTCCCAAGGAGCAGAGAGCCCGATGCAGGACTCGATCCCAGGACTCTGGGATCATGACCTGAGCCGAAGGCAGACGCTTAACCATCTGAGCCACCCAGGCGCCCTAAAAAAATTTTTTTTTGAGCATAGTTGACAAACAGTATTACATCAGTTTCCGGTGTACAACAGAATGATTTGACAAGTTTATACATTATGCTATACCCAGCACAAGTGTAGCTACTCCATCTGTCACCACACAATGCTATTGACTGTACTCCTTGTGTGGTTCCTTTTAATTTATATGACTTTTATAATTATGAATTTAATTTCATTTGACTTCAGAATCTTCTTGGAAGTGAAAATAACTGGCTAACTTTGTATTGAATTTTTAAAAAAGATTTTATTTATTTTTGAGAGCGAGAGGCTGTGTGTGCGCATGTGCAAGCAGGAGGAGGATCAGAGTGGGAGGGGCAGAGGGAGAGGGAGAAAAAACCTCAAGCAGTCTCGGAGATGAGTGTGCAGCCAGATGCGGGGCTCCATCACACGAGCCTGAGATCACAACCTGAACTGAAACCAAGGGTCCGACTCTGAACTGACTGAGCCACCCAGGCGACCCTACTTTGATATTGAATTTTAAGCCTTCTCCCCTGTGCTGTCTTTTTAAAAGAGATGTCTTGAAAATTATAAGCTAGTCTGAAATATTCTCATACTGTTACCCAAAATTCTGATATATAATTTTATTGTTATTTTATTTTGCAAATTCTGGGGCATACTGTCATTAGATGTATATCATACTGTGTTCACTTGAAAGCATGCAGCTTGTCTAAACTCTTAGGAGGTTCATTTATTATGGTTTTTCTTTTTGTAGCTTCATCAGAGTATATTTATATTCTGCCTCTTAGGATAGATATTTGAGGTGCAAACTGAAATTGAATAGATATTAAAATAAATCTTTCCAATTCTGTGTTACTTCTTTCTTTTTAAAGATTTTTATTTATTTGAGAGAGAGAGAGTGAGAGGAAACACAAGCAGGGGGAGTGGGGGAGGGGAAAGCAGGCTTCCTGCAGAGCAGGGAGCCCGATGCAGGGCTCAATCCCAAGACCCTGGGATCAAGACCTGAGCCGAAGGCAGACGCTTAAGGACTGAGCCACCCAGGCGCCCCCTGTGTTACTTATTTCTTTTAAGTTAATTAGTAGTCCTATCTTTCTTTCTTTTTTTTTTGATGAAGAATTTTAAAGATATTTTCTCAAAAGAGAGGAATTACTATTTATTGTTTGTGTTACATGTGACAGACATTTGGCTAGCTGTTTTAAATACTTCATTTTATCCTTAGAATAGTCCAGTGTATTTTTCCACTTTGTGTATAGTTATCTTTTGGGTTCTAGAGCTAAGAAGTAGTAGTAGAATAATGGAAATTTGTAGATGGAAGGACTTGGAAGTCATCTATTTCCTCCTCTTTCAGCTGAGACCTAGAGAGGTTCTGTGACCTACCCAGAATCACACAGCTGATTTTCACTTTTGCTGAGACTAATGCTGCTTGTACTCCTTATGTTTCATTCCAGGGGCCTCCTCTCATGCTTTCTATCTTCCCATCCCTTCAACATCTCATTATGATAAAGTTTAGTGCTACAGAACAATGGAAAATATAGGACAGTGAACACCCATATTACCGTTCATCTATATTCACTCACTGTTCACATTTTGCCACATTTTCTCTTTATATATATACATATTTTAAAGATTTATATATATTATATATATATATTTTGAAGATTTATTTATTTATTTTAGAGAGAGCGAGCACATGTGTGCAAGCGGTGGGGGAGGGGCAAAGGGGGAGGATCTCAAGCAGACTGCACTGAGGCAGAGTCCAGCTCGGGGCTGGATCCCAGGACCTTGAGATCATGACCTGAGTCAAAATCAAGAGCCAGCTGCTTAACCCACTGAGCCACCAGGTGCCCCTATTTATATATTTTTAAAATTATTTGAAACTATATTAAAGAGATTATGATAATATAAAGTTTTTATCATGCATATCCTAAGAACATGGACAATTTCCTGCATGGTCATAATATCAATATCACATATAGGAAAATTAACATTAATTTAAGAATATCTTTAGTTAATGGTCCTTATTCAGATCTCCCCAACTGTCCCTAAAATTTTTTCCTGAGATTTCTGGATCCAGGATTCAATCAGGTTTCATGCATTGCATTTGATTCTTATGTCTCTTTATTTTCTTTTAATTTTGAACAGTCCCTCTTTTTTGTTTTTCATGATTTATATTTTCTTTAAGAGATATAGTTTGTGTATACTTATTGTCTCTCTTGGGAATTGCCTGGTTTCTTAGAACATTATTCATCCAACACTTATTTAGAATTTGCTTCTTTCCTTCCATTTCTCTGAGGTTGCTGGAGATAAAATTGTTTATTCCAGACTTTTTTTTTTAAAAGACCATCATTCCATCATTAAGTAGACATTCACTGAGGTTTTTACATTTGGTTGCATTAAATTAAGGACAAGAAAACCAGGAGATCTATGTTGTATTTGATCCACTGACACTAGTCAGCGATTGAAATTCATTTAAGATGACAGAAGTCTGAAGGAGTTCCTCTACTACCCACCGTTACCCACCCCCACCTTCTAACCAGTTGGTTATACCTAGGAATGTATATCTAGTCACCATGGACATTATAAAGCAGCAGCAGTCTAAGGTTTTGTCTTTGAAAAATGCACAGTTTCAAGCAGGAAGCAGATTAAAATGCAAATGATAAACAAGCACAGTAGTAGAGACAACCAGAGCTAGGCACGATGAGGAAAGATTTAAGTACC